CGCTGCTATCCTACCTAAGTGGGATATTAATTTCAAGATTTTGTTTTATTGAATGATTTTGGATTTTTGGATCATTAGATAGCTCCATAACCACAGAAATCCTTCCTAAAATAAAATAGAAATAGTTCCCAGGGGATCACCTGCTTGGGATTAGCCTTGCTCTTATTGCCATGTAATTTTCAAAGTTGGCAGCAAAATGAAAACTTATAGATAAGTATAAAACAAAATTAACAGCTCAGTTTTCCCCTGGCTGCGCACCCTGTGCTGCACAGATAGCGAAGCGCACGGGCGCCGTGTTTTTCCTTGGTGATCCAAAGTTTCCTTCCTGATGCCAAAGTGCTTGACAACGTGCAGAGAACTAACTGTGGATATATGACTGAGCGAGGAGGTTTCAGGTGTGTGAGATTATATGTGCTAACAAGATCTGTTATTCTGTAAATTAAAAATAAACCTCAGAGGCAACGGACTCAAAACGGCTTGAAGAGATTTGCTAATAAAATTGAGAAAAGATGCGAGGGTATGTGAAACCCTAATAGTGACATTAGCAACAATCTGAGATGTGGTTGTAGCGGTCTCTGCCTTCACCTTATCTGTGTCACCTTTACAGGCTTCCAGAGGGGCATATGGAAAGAAGCCACTCATCTTCTCATGAATCAATCTGTGCTTTTCTCATCAACTGGTTTGGCGTCAGGAATTAGAAAGCAGTATGAAAACAGAGATTTTTAAAATACAGCAGTCTTGCATTAGAAGCTATGTGAAAGTCAATGAATGTTACAATCCTATTAGTGCCCTCAAGAGGCATTATTTGCCATGTGTTATCTTTGCAAACAGACACAGACTGCATTTTTTTATTGCAACAAACAGCAGTTTCCACGGTGAGAGTCTTCACACCTATGACAACAGCTTTAGAACATGAGGAGTCAGTCTGTCAGTCTTATACCCCTCTTTGTGTACTCTCAGCCAGTCACACAAACTAGCTTTCATACACTGAAAGCAAATGCTGTGTAATGTTTGCTGTATACCATTGAAATGAGTTTCACACAGGGCAAATAGCTGAGGAAAAGCAAACAAGAACAGCACAGCAACCAGTAGCAAGAACATATTTACACCTGAATAATGTATAACACCACATGGTAAGCAACCTCCTAAAAGCTCATCAAAAGAATGTTCTTATAATTTAAACATGAAGAATTTGATTGGCATCATAGTGACTACTGATAAGAGTGCTTATTATGACACGGCGTATGTCGTTGGCAATCATCTTCTCCAACAGAAGACACTGACAAGACCTAGGATGTCCATCTATGAAATACTTCCTGACCACATGAAGAGCTCATACAATCTGTGTATAGGGAAGCCAAGAAGCTGGAGAGGTACTCTGCCCTGAATCATCCCTCACTCCCAAGTGTGAGCTGGAATATAATGTTTACATTAGCTCCTCGGGCACTGTTTATAGCCTCCCCAAACTCGTTTGGGTTTATAGTCTCCAAGAGTCTCATTAGAGTTGGGCTCCAAATTCCAGAGTGGGGACAGTTTGACAGCCCATCTGTACCATCATTATTTCTACCTAATCTCTCTTCCACATTTTTTGGGGGGACAGTCTGCTGCTATGTGAGCTGCTTGAGTCTCAGCTTTGCAGAGAGTGTATTTCTAAGCCAACCCAAACTGAAACACTATGTTCAAGCCTTTTCTTTTTCTGTTAGAATGAATTTCAATTTGTATCCATCACTGTAGACTACCACCCGTCTTATTAATTAAAAAGAAATATAAGCCTGGCCAAAACCCCTTCAATTACCTATCAGAGTGTTTTAAAAGATGAGGATATTTTTCCATGAAATAAATGCCTATAGTAGTGGTGTGAAGTTTGGAGGGGTTTTTTTTTATTTTTTTTTTTTGAGCAATAGAAAATATTACTGTAGGAAACAGAGTAAATATAGAGATAGATGGAATTAGAGCTACACACCTGCCTTCATCATTTTTGCAGTTGCTGCGGTAAGACACCTTGACAAAAGGAAACTAAGGGGCAGAGGATGACTCCAGATCACAGTGCAAGGTACAGTCCATCCTGGCATGGAACTTGAGGAAGGAGGGAGCTGAAGCAGCTGTTCACATTGTATCCACAGCCGAGAAGCAGAGCAAGGCAAATACACTCCACTCTTCCCCTGCACAACCAGCGTTTTTCACATTATGATGTCCTAGAACTTCTGTCCATGGAAGGGTCCCACACACAGGTTAGAAGCATCTCCCCTCATCAACTAATGTAATGACGATAACCCCTCACAGGCATTCCCAAAGGCCTGACTTCTGATGATTCCCTAGCAAGGTGACAACTGACAGTGAGAATCACAATATCCTTTGTAATGTTTATTTTTACTAATCACATATCAATCCTCACCTTTCTCTTCTGTACATACATACATACACAGACACACACACACACACACACACACACACACACACACACTACAGGTTTCATTCTGCTGTGAAAAAAAAATTTACTGGTTATATTCAACAATGTATACAAAGTATTTCCTCTGCATTTTTATGCACTCAGCATTTATGAGACATTAAAACCTATACTGTACACCTCATATGTTGTCATTCAATCACAACACTAAGATTTAAACATATGGAAAAATATGAGCATAACACATATTTTCAAATATGAAATTTTATGATTATTTAAACAAACATGTATAATAATAATTCCAAATGTCAAACAATATTCTGCAGCAATAGCTCAGATGAAAAAAAAATGTTATAAACAAATAAAAATATACCCAAGTTTTCATGATGATGTGTGTCTACACCAAACACAGGAGGCTGAGGCAGAAGGAATGGAAGCTTAAGGCAAGCATGAACTACACAACACGAATGACGCCATCTTGGTTTATACAGCAAGTTCTAGAGTAGCCTGGGTACTAAACAAAATCCCATCTCTATAGAAAATATGAACACCACAATCAAAAACTTTGAACTGTATAGAAAGCTTCCATATTATACATATACAACATTAAATCAATATCATGATGCTCTTGAATAGTTTAGGACAAACTCATTAATATTATTTCTATGTATCCACAACACGTCCACTGATAGAGCCATTCAAGTAATATTTGTTGAACATCCTCCTAAATATAAATCAGTGAGCAGTCCAGAATCCAAGCCCTCACTGAGTTTGTATTATAAAGAGTCACATGGCAAATAAACAGCTAAGTAATTACATTTATAACATAATGCTTGGTGGTGAACCTCTAAAAACAAGTAAGTAGGTGCACTGGCTTTAGAAAAGAATAAACACATACTTTTGTTTTGTTTGGGTTGTTTGTTTGTTTTTGAAACAAGGTCTTATCTTCAGCCAGCCTTGAACACACCATGAGGATGATCTTATATGTGGATGAAGGTTTGGATTCACCATCATACACAGTTTATGTGGTCCACACTTGACCACTTGACCTGGGCATTGAACTCAGGGACTCTTGCCTGAGAAGCAAGCACCCTACCAATACCAACCGTAGCTCATATGATTGTTAGATGAGAGACCAGGAACGGCTTCCCCAAGGACATTTAGGAATAGTAAGTGTATCCCTAACAGAGGTCTTAATGATATAAAATATATCAGAGTCTGCACAAGGGACCTTTGCTAAAGGGAAAATTAGACTATGATACTTAAGATAAATGGGAGTCAGAGGAGCTGGGAGAGAGCAACCACAATCCAAGAATGCAAGCCTGGTAAGCTTATGATGTAGACGTACATCCAAGTAGATGAAAAGCCGTGGGAAGGCTTAATGATTGTCCTGGCTTCGAGGTAAGTAGAGTGGAGAATGCAGAAATGGGAGAAAATGTCAACAGGGAGGGTATTCTCCCACTGGGTGAGAGATGATGATATTTACATTACAGAGGCTGCAGGTAGGGGAGATGAATGTGGGAGTTTGGGTGAGGAAAATTAACAAGGAATATGGTCAGTGATTTTACAGATGGAGGCAAAAGGTGGGTAACAGGGAGCACACTGGGGCAGGGATTAGAATTTAATAGTGGGCATGTGAATCTGAAATGCCTGTACTTCTTAATAAAATCAGTTGGCTATTTTTAAATTTCAAAGTCAGGTCTGAGTTAGGGATAAAAATCATAATTCATAGGTAGCATTGGATAGTGATTTGATAGCGATCCTCTTGGAATAAGGAAAATGGTCTGAGCACATGGCCCTGGGAGAGTCATGCCTTCAGAACCTAACATGGTAAGGAAGAAGGAAGGGGGAAAATAGGGGTGGGGAGGAGAAGGCGAGGCAGGGTGAGAGTGATAGGATTGAATTTTATAAATGTAAGGAATTATAAAAGAACAAATTTAACTGACAGAACAAAAAGACAGGAGACCAGAAAGAATCTGAAAAGAATGAAGCAGAACCAAAGTGGAAAAAAAAAATCTTCAGGTTTTCCTTCAACATGCACAAATCCAGTTCAAACAGGGAATTTGGTGTCCCTGGAAGAGAAATCTCTCCAAGACCCACCTACAAAAATCAGTATTCAAAGGTACTATGGTTGTATCAGCAAGAAAAAAAAAAAGGCAGAGGTTCTGGGGACAGCAGAATTTAAGAGAAACTTGGAGACCAGAGAGATGAATTTTACAGTGCCTCCTATACTCCAGAAGGCACTTCAAGTCATATCAGAAACGAAAGATGGATTTGTAGTTGAATGGGTTATTTCAAGGTGACATGAATGGTGCATAAAGTTAAGGTGGATGTCAGGATTATTCTCAGAGCTAGTGAGAAAGTGTACATTTACCATAAGACATAGGAATCCATTGAGGTCACAGTAGTGATGGCACATTATCTCGCAAAGACTCAGTATCTGATCATACATATGTTTTGGTAGCACATCAGCACAGACTCCAGCCCTTTGGTTCCTGCCCAAAGTATTTTGTTCTCATGGGACAACAGAGCCACCCATTCTTTCGCATGCTTGCTGCCTTTCCCACAGGCATTGTGAACAAACAAAACTGACCTGTGTTGAAGAAAGATCCAGTCCATTCTGCCTCTGTCGTTGGAAACACAGAAACTGGTGGGGGCAAACCCAGGGTTCTCCCATCCAGATCTGTGAAGAGGTATTTTCTTGGACTTTCACAGTCAGATTCAAGGCAGGTGGCTCTCTCTAAGTCTTCCCTGTGGAAAAAGAATAAAAAAGGAACACTCCCGTCTCACGGTACACAGAAACAAAAAGCATGTTGGCAGTGCTGATATTGTGTCAAGCACTCTTGTCAATCTGATCCTTCAGCCATATAAAGCTAACATCCTTCACCTCATATGGAAGACTGGTAGAGTAGCTCTACTGGTAGAGTAGACACCAGCCATCAGCTGCTTTGATTTTTGTACTCCACACACTCCCAAAATATAAGAGATAAATATTTGGTCGTTACCAATCATCTAGTTTATGGTGTTTTGTTAAGTGTCACAAGCAGACCCAGAGGTATAGGTTTCAGCCCACTGGTAGATACAAGAAGAAGGAAGTTTTAATGAGAAAAGTACAAATAAGGACACGGCAGAAATTGTGTGCCTAACTGTACTGAGCTACACACAATGGCTCAGAGATGGGCATTAAAAAGGAAACAGTGTTAGGTCAAACATAGAAACTTTCCATATAGGATGGTTTATTTAGACTATTACTTTTCTCCCTATAGCAGTTTTATGTTTTGTAGTGTAAGAGATCCATAATGCATTTTTCATTTCTTCATGCCTTTTCAAGGCAAAGATACTATACATATACATACATATTAGATCCTTGAATAAAGCTTTGAGATCATGCGTGCAAGGGCAGCAGTTAGGCATGACCTATGCATCATTGCTTAGCTTAGGAGTTCCTAGCAATAGGCACATCGGTCTCCTGTCTCCTCATCTTCTTCAAAGGTTCCCTGAGCCTCCCCCATCTGAAACTGGACTTTGTGTTCCATGATAGAGGAAACAACTATTTTGAAAATGTCTCTAAGAAAACAATACAATAGAAACAACAAAAACGCTGTCATCAAATGACTTCTTACCCCCCCCCCAAAAAAAAGACTCAAGAGGAGAGAAACTAGTAACTAGTATCTATTTGTTTGTAATCAAATTCTTAAAATCATATATGAAAGGACGGGAACTCCACAAGCAGAGCAACAGAACAAGATAATTTGAACACAGGGAACTTCCCAGAGACTCATACTCCAACCAAGGACTATTCGTGGAGATAACCTAGAACTCCTGCATAGATGTAGCCCATGGCAGTTCAGTGTCCAAGTGGGTTACATAGTAATGGGAAGAGGGACTGCCTCTGACATAATCTGATTGGCCTGCTCTTTGATCACCTCCCCCTGAGGGGGGAGCAGCCTTACCAGGCCATGGTAGAGGACAATGCAGCCAATTTTAATGAGAACTGATAGACTGAGATCAGAAAGGAGAGGAGAACCTCCCCTATCAGTGGACTTGGGGAGTGGCATGCATGCAGAAAGGGGAGGGAGGGTGGGATCGGGAGGGGAGGAGGGAGGGGCTTATGGGGGGATACAAAATGAATAAAGTGTAATTAATAAAAAATTTAAAAAAAGATATATAAAAAAAGAATATAAGAGGAGTAAAATGTTGGGACCAATAAATCAAGGCATTTATTTAAATATGTGTGATGATGTTGTAGTTTTTAATGATTGAGAATGTAAAGAGTTGAAAATTGCTTCATAAGTACACATCAATACTGAAAGTGGTACCTGGGCTGCAATGGAGGAAAATAGAACTTGTTTTTGTCCTTTATCTTTAGCATCCTGCTCCTCTCTGCTGTTATGGGGTAGATGATTCCAGTGCTATACTCATTAGGCAGGATACAGATATCCAGGTCATCACTATAGCAACTCTTCACAAAGCTAGAAAAGGTGACATCTGAAATTTTAAACAATATATCACAAAATTGTTTCATGTGAGCCACCAACCACAAGCATTATACAACTAAATATTCTGTTCCTAAAGTATTTTCTAGGAGATAATATGAGCTACCAAGGATAACCCCGGGAATTTTACATGAAGCTTAGTCACAAAGTGTCTCTACCATACATGGACATTGCGGTGTTTAAAAAAAAAAAAAAAAAAAAAGATGGCAATTCCAAGCTAGAAAGCTGGCTTAATGGTTAAAGCACTGACTTTTCTCCCAGAGGACACAAATTTGATTCCTAGCAATTAGATGGAGGCTCACAACCCTCTCTAACACCAGTTCTGGAGATTTAACGCCCTCTTCAAGCCTCTGCAGGTACTTCATGTATATGGTGCACAGACATATATAGAGGCAAACACTCATACACGTAAAATAAACCAATCTTTAAAGACAAAGATTCCAATAAATTATAGTCTTCAGAAAACGTTTAATTAAAACCTTAATCAAAATCTGTCCATTTTATTTAACACTCAAACCAACTGCGAGATAGACTCTATAAACGGGGAATAAGTAAAAAAATTGCCAAAACTGTCTGGTAAAAGATAAACTGCCCAAGTTATGGTTAAATGCTGACTTTAAACCTAGCAATCTTTATAGGACTCAACTACAAAGCAACCTCAGCTGCGTTACAGTTTCTACATCTTATTTACTTTAGTGGATAACAGGAAAAACAATTGCTATACAAGAGCAATTACTGAGTTAAGTAGTTACAACGAAGTCTTTCTAGCAAGCAGAAAACAGTAACTTCTGCCCGGAATCACTCACTATCATTGAAACACAGTTGTGGTGCACCACCAGCAGAATGCAAGTGAGACAAGCAAGCACTAGGCCACACTGGACCTTCTTACCGTACAATTTCAGAATGTTACTGAAAATTGTACGTTTGGATGTGTAACCACAATATTTAGGACAAACCCCAGAATCCTACCTTGAAGCTTCATAATTCCGGAAACTGAATGACCATTCCTCGTTTTGTGCCATGGCTCCTGAGGCCATCGATTTGGTTCTGAGGTGAAAACAGGCCACAGAATACCAATTCGGCCTCCTCTGGGGTTGGAAGGTGCTCTATCTGTTGATGTGCAGTTGGCCGACTGAGGTGCCTTTCTGTCTTGAATGCAGTCAAAAGAGGAGCTAGTGGCCACAATGACTGAATTCCTAAGCATAATCTGTACAGTGCTCATGGAGCTCAGTGAAGCAGAAGACACATATGCGATGGCCAAAAGGCCAATGGTATTGTCTACCAGAGTGATATTCTGCATGTCCACGCTATTCTCTGTCTGTACCATGGCACCATAGTCAAAGTTCTTAAAAGCCAGAAATCCAGAGATACCAGTACAGTTGTTGGGCTCATGTGTCTTGTAGAGGTGAAGGCCATGAAGGCTTGAGTGGACCACGTTGTCAGACCAAAGCACTTCACAGGAGCACCCATGGCCACCTACATGAAAGCCAAGTCTCTCTGATCCTGCCACCACATTGCCACGGAGAATTATATCCTTTGCATAGTTTACTTTGATTCCTGCCACCCAAGCAGATAAGCTTGCCGACTGCATTGTCAGAATGACAAGATTATTAGTGAGAGAATAGTTCTGTCCCTCCACATCAATGCCATGGCCACTTGTGCCAAACACTACGTTGTCCTCTAAAATCATGCCATGACTAGAAGACGCATGGATGCCCACACCACAGCTTTGATGTACAGTAGAAGATATTACCCGGGATCCAGCTGACACACTAGTGAATTCAATGGATGAATACCATGGCGACCCCAAATTCCGAATTTCTACATTTAGAAGTTGAAGTACACCTACAAAGAAAATGAATATATTTATTTAGTCAGCTTCTTTCTTATTCCCCACAATATACCAAAGGCCTCTGTTTCAGGGCATCAGAATCTGCAGATATTTAAATGAAATGTAATCATTATCCTTAGCACCAGAACTGCACAACTTACACTGTAAATTCTTGCCAACAAAAAAAAATGAATCACTGGAAATATCACATTCTAGTCTACAAACAGCACTGTGCTGTCTGGATTCTGATGTAAACAGTGAGAAGAGAAATAAGGCAGGGAATGACCTTGGGGAGATACACAGCTGGCTTACAGATCCTTTGCATTTGTTAGGAGACTGCATCAGAGCCTGGACAAGAACAAAGAATATGTCGCCCACTTGCCGCAAAGTCATGTCTAACTCTGTTTGTCTCATGGATTCCATTCAAATGGATTGTAACTCCTTATGGAGACAATGAAGAAAGGAACAGAATGCGCAACTTGAAAAATGAAGATTATGTTATGGCCCAATTAATGTCCATAAATATGAGTTTCTTGATAAAGACAAGGTAAAAAGATACATAATACACATTTAATATTGTTTACAAAACTGGACTGAAGGCACAGGGCTGTAACCAGGTAACACTAGGAGCTAAGGCAGAAGGATGGAAAGGTCAAGGCCTGCCTGTGCTATGCAGTGAGTTCAAGACTAACCTGGGATTCTCAGTGAGGCTCTGTAGCTAAATAAAATCTGAAAATGAAGATGAGATAGAGCTAAGTAGTAAATCATTGGCCTACCACTTGTGTCACCCTAGAATCAAACCTTTTCTATATTTTACTCTTAGCCTCACCGTATTTCCAACTTTCTTTTTTATAGTAGTGAGATTTCTTCCAGTGTCATTCATGAAAATTAATAATTATGTAACCTCACTGAACACTTTAAGGTATCTGAATGTTGTCCTTTTATTTTTGTGAATTGTTTGCTTTACTGATGATTGAACCTTCATCCCTAAACTTACTACTAGGCCAGTATTCTACAACTAGCTTTACCTATAGCCTAAATTTCTTGGGGGGGGGGGGTCGGAGTCTCATTAAATTGCCCAGTCAGGCCTATAACTCCCTGCCTCAGATTTCTGAGTCATTCAGATCATAGGCTTTAGCAAGCATGCCCAGCTTATCTCTCCCAGGTGCTAGGATTATAGTGGGCTGGCACATGCCTAGCTGTGCTTTCTTTAAAATATATGTGTGTGTGTGTGTGTGTGTGTGTGTGTGTGTGTGTGTGTGTGTTTATTTACAACGATACAGAATTCAGCCTATACATTGGTTTTAAACTTGAGTATTAATAATCACTGTATGCATTTCTGGTAAACATATATGCTATCTGAATATAGGTTATGAATTAATAATGAGGTGAAATAACTGTAGCATCTAATTATCATATAACACTGATCATGTGCCAAGTTTTGCTGTATCACACACACACACACACACACACAATTATACACAAACACACATAAACAATCTTATTATAATGATGCTATTTTGGATACAATTATTTTCATTCTGCTTATAAGGAAATGAGACATTAAATAGTTGACAAGCTAAGATTTTACTCTGGGCATATGACTAAGCACAATGAACCACATTGCAAATTCACAGTAAGAGTGAAATAGTCAACCCTATAAAAGGAGCAAGTTCAACACTGGAGTCAGGGAACCAGCAATAGCTGTATGCCAGTCATTAGTCATATATCCTTTGCTAGGAGGATTCCAACTTGACAACTTGGTCCCTCCCTTCTTTTTTATTAATTGATTTTGCTGGAATTTATAAGGTTTTGTTTTGCTTTTGAGGCAATGGCTAAGGCAAATCATGCAGTTACTTCTTTAATAAAGATGGAAGAAGCTGCACGTGAAGTTTTGATGTCGTTGTGCTTTAGTACTTTCACTTAAAGCTCAAAGGTAAGCCAGCTTAACACCTTCAGTTCTCCACTGCCTTTTCAGGGATAGGAAACTTGAATCCTTGCGAATGAGTTGCTGTAAAGAAGTCAATCCCTGTGAGAAGGAGAAAGTGAAAGATGTGACTGGATAAAAGAACCCCAATAATTAACTGAGCAATAAATAAATGCTTAGTGGGCAATGATCGAGATGCTTCCTGTAGATGGTATAGAAAAACTGTGCTAAACATTGTATAGGACTCATCTCCGAGCCAAACTGCCAACATCTTCAGGAGTTCTGCTTGTCCTAGTGACAAAAGATCATCACAGCTAGGTCTGTTGACTATTTACCTTCCCCCATAAAATTAGGGAACCTTATTTTATAGAATCCTTACCTGTGTAACCAGCCACCCTTCCAAACAAGTATGCAATTCTACCTGATTGCATAGGTCTTTGGGAATGGGCTAGAAGATATTAGTAGAGAAATGACAAAAGGTATTCTATCTACAAAGACATGAAAATACCATCATTCCTGCTGGGAACAGCCCTTCCAGAGTGGCTACTTTAAGGTCACCTGTATTCCTGCCCATATCCTTTACCCATTTTTTTTCTATAATTAAGCCTAATAAACTCACAAGTTCACCAGAGTGAACTTTGGTATAGTCATACCTTGGTTGTTGGGTTTTGGAACAATAGGAGAGGGATAGATGTTTACATTTCCTCCAAGAAAGGGATTTCAGCAACAAACATTAAAATGGTATTTGTCTCCTGAGATTCTTTGCCAATAATACACAGTTGTAAGATATGTTGTATCTGTCCTGCACATCAAACTTTGACATGAACATCAATCAAATGGAAATGCAAGTTCACAAGTAAACAGCCTATTTTCCACTATGCATGGTGGTTTTAACCTCTCATTAACATATCCTGTGGGTAATAGTCAATTACGCTGTGTGTGAGTGTGTGTTTGCAATTCACAGTTTCAAAATGCTCAATATCATTTCACTTGAATGCATATTTAATCAATAAATCGTAAGCAAATACTTGACATATCTTGAGCATTTAAGTGAAGGATTCAGATTCAATTTTGCTTGTAAATACTTTGCAACTTTTCCTTTTGAAATTATATCTTAAAACTTTCTAGCTAGATTTTGTCAGAAAAAAAGGAAAAAAATGTTACAGTGCCTAATAACCAGTAAAGAGTATCTTTGCCTGGTTTCCATCCCTATAATTATTCAACAGCATCCATGCTATGTACCTGCAGATCCTACTTTATCTAGACTCTGACACAGGTTAATCTGAAAACAACAACAACAACAACAACAAAACAAACCCCAAAAAAACAAAAAACATTACTTTTATCTTGAAGAAGACAGTTATCTTGGTTGAAGATAGTTACAAAATTTCCTTCTCCTTTTCTTCCCTCTAACCCCCATATACCGCTCCTTTCTTTCTTTCAAATTCCCATGCCATCTTCTTTCTAAATAAATCTACTCAGTCTGTATATTGTTATTCATACATATACATACATACACATATATGAATATATATATACATATATACGAATAACTGTATATATATATATATATATACACACACACATATACACACACACATATACACACACACATATATCCAGAGCTGACCATTTGGTATTAGAAAACCAGCTGGTGTGCTCCCCTGGGAAAGACTATTTCTCCAGCATTCAGCATTTCTTAGTTGCCTATAGTTCTTTTTGTAAGGTTAAGGCATCATGGTCTTCCCTGGTTCACACTGGCATGCTTATTGTTATCATCAGGCTCATCTTCAGAAACATAGTCTGGCAGCAACTTCCTGGTATATTGGTTATTATCATCTTTCCAACCCCTCTGCAACAATAACATACGTTAAGAAGCAAGGGTTCTTATCAGAGGTTAAGGTGAGTCCACGCTCTTTTTTTTTTTTTTAAATATATTTACTTTTGTGTACACTTGGTGTTTGGCATATATATGTGTGTGTGAGTGTGGGGTGGGGGAGTCAGATGGATTCACCAGTTACAGACAGTTGTGAGCTGCCATGTAGGTGCTGGGAATTGAACCTGGGTCCTCAGGAAGAGCAGCCAGTGCTCTTAACCACTGAGCCATCTTCTAGCCCCAGAAGCAAGGGTTCTTAATGTAGTATGAGAATATGGATTATATTCTGGGCAGAAAGGATCACTAAAAGAGAAAATTTCTACTATGGGAAAACAAGAACATTTCCAGCTCACAAAAGCATTTAATATGGTTTCTCCTTTCTTTTCTAGGATGTTATTTGGACAGCTATAGTTTAGCAACTGCATAGGCTTAGGATTCTGTCAGGCTGGATGCTGGTTCAGCCTTTGTGCTCAAGTGTAAGATTTGGTCTTCTGTTCATGACCACAGTCCTGCTTGACCTAGTTTTCATTTGCTGAGTCTCTAAATCCCAACTTTTCAATCATTTCTGCAAGATCAGAGTCCAGCTTTTGTCTCCATCATCTAGAACAAGATTGTCTGAGCTCAACATCATGTTATTTTGAGCAAGACATTCCTTTCTTATATGTTGCTGTCCTGTGCATTTGGCAACTATTCATTAAATCTTAGAAACTCCCCCAACTTAGGACAAGTACAAATGTCTACCAGATACCAGCATTTTTTTTCCTAGGGGGCAAACTAATTTCTGGCAAGTACATATAGAGATAAAGCTCATGAGAAGAGTTTCTTTTCTATTCACTAGAAATTGTGAACTTCTGATTTAAGGTCTGAATGTTTTCAAAGAGTGAACAAATTATGCAAAAGAAAATGCACAATGATGATCATAGGTAGTGATTAGAACACTTTATGCCAGATATTTGTGAGCTTTTATTGTATTCATGTGCACAGTGAATTTATTTTCTTTAAAAAAAAAGCTATAGACAATATTTTATCTTTTTTTGAGAATTTTATAAATGCATACAATGTATTTCAACTCAATCTATTAGTGCTACTCACATACTCCTGGGTATGGAATGTGGTCACTGGGATGTGGTCAACCTACCAGACACTCCTTTAATGAAAACAAACTCCCTCCTCCCAATAGGCCATCATTTGTCAATGGCTGCTCAACGAGGGAGAAGAGGCTCACACTGGAATAGTGACTGGTTTGGTAGTGTGGGTCTTGTACGGACAACCAAAGCTGCTGTGAGTTCAGGAGCTGTGGGGGCCTTCTCATGTCTGGTCTGTTTCGGTCTGGTCTTCCAGACCAGGGTGATGCTCCACTTTTGGCTGAATACGTCTTTTCAGATACTTACTCTGCACAGTAGTGTGTCTTCATGTTAACTTCCCACTGCATGGGGAAACTATTCTTATTATATTTAAGAGGTGCAGAAGTGAATAATAGGCATGTATAACTTAAATCTTAGAGTCAAATGATGCCCTTCACATAAAATGAGGAAATTTCCAAGTATGTAAGAAATTTCTACTGTCAAGGTCACTACAAGAAAACCTACAGAATCAACTAACCTTAAGCCCATAGGGGCTCACAGACACTGAACCATCAGCCAGATAACATTCAGGGAAGGATATTAGGCCCTCTGCACAAGTATAACTATTATGAAGCTTGGTCTTCATGTGGGACTCCTAATAACGGGAGCAGGAGCTGTCTCTGACTCTGTTTCCTACTTTTTGATACATTTCCCTCTAACTGAGCTGCCTTATCTAGTCTCAATAGGAGAAAATGTGCCTCGTCTTATTGCAACTTGATATGCCAAGGCTGGTTGATATCCATGGAAGGCCTCCCCCCCCCCTTTTTTTGAGGAGAAAAGGAGGAGGTGAGGAATTGTGGGGGAAGGGAGAAAGGGGGGGACTGGAAGGAGAGGAGGGAGGAGAAGATTTGATTGGGATGTAAGCTAAATAAATAAATTAATAAAAAAATCTTTCCTGCCTCCTGCCCTCTCTCATGTGTTCATCACTTGAATTGAATCCTTATCTTACAGAATAAAAGAGTTCACAGAAAAATATTACAGGATTTTCTTTGGTTATAGAAACCAAACCCTAATAGAATCATTTTAGATTTATTCAGATATCTTCTGATGACAAATATTTATCTTTAAAAAAATATCTTTTAAAGAAATAGTAAAAGAAAACCTGACATTTTCAGGTAAAAGACTATAGAATTAATCACCAGTTAGTGTGTGCTTAAAAAAGTATTAAAGGAAAATTCTAAGAAATCAAGGGAAATAATTGTATAAATAAACTCAGATCCTTAAGGATGAATACACAGTGACTTTCAAAGATGGAGCTACCCTGACAATATTTCCCAAGCTATTTGATCAGGAAGAGATTTGTAAGACTATCTCTGGAATATGAGTTTAATAAATAAGGTCATCAAATACTTTTGCAAGATTCCAAAAGAGCTGAAGCATAAATTTCAAAGAAAAAGATTGCATTGATCTTTTTAAAAGATTGAATTGATCTTTAAATCACTCTAAAATATGGAAATGATTTATATTTAAATTTCAGCCACTAATTTGTAGCACGAGCTCACGTCTATCATCAGATATTGCGTACTACTGAATAAAAGTATGAGAAAATCAGGAATGTGATAAAATTCAAATGGTTATTAAATCATATGTCATTTCAAAGCAGAAGAAAATCTACATTGGCTAACTAAGGATGTTTTCTTTGAGGAAAAAGTATGCATGTGCACTTATCTCTAGTATATTATTTAACTTCATACTGATAATTAGCAAAGATTAGGGCTGAAAATTCATAGGTTCCTGGAGCACAAAGGAGCTAGCTACTCTGATCATTTTGCATTATAAGTGAAACTTGTCATAGCTGAAATGTCTGCATGTCCTAGATGAGTGGTACAGAATTACTTAGCAGCTGAATGGTAAGGCTTAGTAATTGTAGATCTCATTTCACTTACCAGAAAAGTCTTCTCCACTAGACCTTCTGAAGGACCCCACAAGGAGTCTCCCTCTACATAATGAGTCAGGCTGAATTTTAATGTTTCGAGTCAGTAGTCCAACCTCAGCAGCCAAAGGAATGTGTTGACCATCTTCCATGATATGAGCACTTCCTAGAGAAACAGGAGTCAGGGGAAAACAACCTTTAATTGTCTGTCTTGGAAATTGCCAGCTGGGGACCCAGCGTACCTCACAAGTGAAATTTTCCCTTCCTGTTAGAAGTCCTTCCAACATGAAAGCCAGCTTTTCCTCAGGCACACTCGACAGATGTCAGCCGAGAAATGAAAAACCTGTTCACTTGTCCCTCTTTGGGATCAAAGAGAATGTGTGAGCAATAATTCATTTCTTTTCAATAACTCTGGGTACGAGGACAGGCCACTGGTTCAGAGATGTGTCCAATTAGTAGGGTTCCCAACCTCCTTTCTTACATGCATCAGTGGTAGGCTGTGACCGTTGGCTGCCCGCCGTCCACACACCACCATCAAGGGAGCAAAGATGAGGAAATAGCAGAGTGTAAACAGTGGTGTTTAGAGAGTGATGGAAATAGAAAGAGGCAATGCCAAGCATAGGAAGCCCCTTTCTTGATGAGACTTCCTCGTGGACGTGGACCAGCTACCAGAGCAGGAGTAAGGAGGAGCCTCGTTTTCCTATTTCCAATGACATTTCACAACGACTCTAACTGGATAGGGTTAATAAAGACTTCTCTTTTCTATGCTATGCTTTTTAAACAGAGAATCAAGCTAGACGTGGTGATACCTGCTTACAGTCCTAGCTCATTAGAGGCCAAAGCAGGAAAAGGAATGGAGTCCAGAAATTCAAGAGAAAAACCCATTCTCAATAATAATAGAGAGAGGAAGAGGAAGTATTATTTCTTAAACTATAATGAAGAAATAACTTGAGACAGTGTTAGTGAATACTTAAATTCCACTCTCATGCATTACATTAAAAAAACAACTCTCTGAATCATTTATTTTGCATGTTTCATTAGTTATAGCCCTCGAGTTAAACCTATTTCTTACATGATACAGGAAGGTGGTTTTCCTTAATGGATTATTTCTATACAGTACCTGTTTTTACAAGGAAGAGTGAATTCTTCTGTATCTTTGGTTGTTTATTTTTCTTGATTATCTTAGTAAACAATATATAAAATACATTATGTGTCAAGAAGAATACATTTCTACATAAAGCAAAGGTATTATTTATATTATCCATCGTATTTCAAAGTATTGCAGGATTCAATGTGCCACAAAATGAACTGGACACTTAGTGTCAAGCACTTTTGGCCTTAGCCCTAAGCCATCTATAAATTTTTAAGGAATTTTTTCAACTCTCCTCTTAGACTTGCCATCATGAATGATAAAATGTTTAATAAAATATCTAAATGTTTTTTCGAAAGTAAACAATATGCCAAGAATGATGGCACACACCATTAATCCAGTACTAGGGAGGCAGAGGTAAGTGGATCAGGGCCAGACCTGTCTACATAGCAAATTCTAAGCCAGTCAAAAAATATATATATATATTGAGATCTGTTCTCCATACATAAAATTAAAAGTAAGCCAGGCATAAAGGCACGGGGCATACATGCCAATAATCTCAGCACTAGAGAGGTAAGGTGGGAGAATGAGTTTGAGTTGCAAGCCTGGAGTGCTTAGTCAGAGCCTATTTCAAACAAACAAAAATAATAAAAGGCAGAAGGAAGGAAGGAAGGAAGGAAGGAAGGAAGGAAGGAAGGAAGGAAGGAAGGAAGGAAG